TCGACCACTTTGTCTTTCGACCATAGACTTAAATCTGGTAAATACTTCGATCACTTCACTTTTCTTCTTGATCAGGTAAGTCCATAACTTTCGACTGAAATCATCTATAAATGTAACAAAGTATTTGTTAGCTCCCATCGAATCCACCTGGATTGGTCCACATACATCAGAGTATATGACTTCAAGACTAGCCTTCGATCTTCTTCCTGCATCCTTGCTGAAGCTATTCTTGTGTTGCTTCGCCTGCACACATTCTTCACATACTTCGTTTGGAATGTCAATTTCAAGCAATCCTGAAACCATATTTCTTCTCTTCAAATCTCTGATGTCTCTGAAGTTGAGATGGCCTAGTCTATAATGCCATATCCATTCATCTCTACTAGCTGCAGTCGAAAGGCACTTGTGCTCCATCACATTTAGTTCAATCTTGAAGGTTCGATTCTGAGACATAGGAGCCTTCAAGACTAATCTCCCATTTGCATCAACGACTCTCATCAACTTATCTTCGATTGACACTTTATAATTCTTTTCGACCAACTGCCCTATACTGAGAAAATTGCTCTTCATGCCTGGTATGTACAACACATTGGAGATTACTGACCTCTTGCCATCTTTCCTCATGATCATAACATCACCAATACCTTCAGCTGCTAGGGTATTGTCATTTGCAAATTTTACCATATTTTTCTTTGAGGGCTTTATATTGACAAACCAGTCTTTCCTTCCAGACATATGTGATGAACATCCTGAATCCAAGTACCATTGATCCTTGAATCTATCTTCATCTCTTGTTGTGACCATCAGCATCATCTCTTCTTCTTCTTCTTCATGTTTTGCATGCTTTGCATCACTTTCTTGATTCTTTCGTTTTTCTGGACAATCACTCGAATAGTGACCATACTTCTGACAATTGTAACATTGAATGTGACTCTTATCAGGTTTTCGACCACCACCTCTTCCTCTATTTGCAACACCACCTCTTTGGTTGCCTTGGTATGGTCTTCTTTGTTTCGACACGTCTCCTTCGATTTGGTTTCCTCTACCATTCGATTTGTTGTAGCCACCTCTACTTCTGTCGAAACACCTTCATTTGCCTTTGGTCTCTTTTGCTGCATGTGCCTGCAAGGCCACATCACTCTTTGATTTTCCTGCAGCTCTTTCGTTCATTTTTTGTTCATGAGATTCGAGCGTCCCTTGAAGCTCTTCCTTTGTCAATTTCGACAAGTCTTTTCCTTCTTCTATCGCCACCACTATGTGGTCGAACTTAGGAGCTAAAGATCTCAAGATCTTCGACACAACAGCTCTTGTTGTTAACGTTTCTCCACATATCTTGATTTGATTTACTAGTTTTGTAACTCTAGTGAAGAAATCAGATATGTTTTCACTGTCTTCCATCTGAAGCAGTTCATAGGTCCTTTTGTGAGTTTGTAACCTCACTTCTTTCACCTTCTCAGCGCCTCCAAAAGACTTCTCAAGGATCTCCCAAGCTTCTTTTGCAGATTCTGAATCACTAATCTTTTCGAAATTGTCTGGGCTGACACATTGATGAATTATAAATAATGCTTTATAACTCAACTTCTCAGATTCTGTGTATTTCTTCTTTTCTTCTTCTGAAGCGTTTTCGCCAAGCGCTTTGACTCCATCTTTTACAAGGTCCCAAAGACCTTGACACCTGAATAAGACTTTCATCTGTTTGCACCAATTCTCATAGTTGTCAACTTTCAGAATTAGTAGCGTTGCTGGATAGTTTGCATTCCCATAACTTGTCATCGTGAATTATTCAATCGTTCTTGATTGACACTTCCCTTGAATCGAAACAAAAGCTCTTGATACCAGATGTTGGAAATCCACCTAATACTATGACGAATTTCGACCACAATGATGATTAGTTATGAGAAAAACAAAATAAAAGAAGACAAGATAAATATTTCTGCAGAGTTTCTCTCTGCCCACAAACTGTGGAAAACTTTCTTAATCACTTGCAACTGCAAATTCTGTGATTACAATGAATTGTCTTGCTTGACTTGCTTTCAAAATAGGGGTTACTCCCTCTATTTATAACTGAGCTTACACCCTAAGCCCAAGGCCCAAAATATCTTTTTGTTACTAAATCAAATCTATTCTAGACTTAAATCAAATCTATTTAAATCTAAAACAAATCAAATCTTCTTTGACACATATGAATTACAATTTAACATTCTTTAGCTTCTCAATTTAAGTATATCCTTCTTTTTTGCTTACGACCATCAACTTGGATGTCTTCCTTTTTATCATCCCTTTAGAGGGGTTCCATGATCTTGGGAGTTCACCAGTGATGGATACAATGTATTAAGGATTCCCTTCTTGGCTTTCTTCGTCTTCACTACTGATATCCTTCCTTTCTTTATCTCTAGCGATAACTTCAACAGTCTTATTGGAGGATTTTTCTCTATGGAGGATACCTTCCTTTTTAGTGAATCTTATCGGCTTCCCCGACCTTTCTTATTGTCTCAGGTGTATTCATCCAACCCCCCTTTTTAATTAGTCCTTTTATTCTATCTTTCAACTGGAATCAAACATTTGTATTATGATAGTGACTCTCATGGAAACGATAATATTTGGAATTGTCCGTTTGGGATAATTCCTTGGCAGGGTAGGGGTTCCTGATCCCGACCTTCTTGAACTCAGTACTTGCATACTTGTTTCAAATTTTCTCTCTCGAATTGTTTAATGGGGTGTAAGCATTAAAATTGGACTAGGGACCACATTCTCCTTCTTCTCTATGGTGGCCACCGTCCCTTTCTTGTGCCAGAATAGGTCCGAAGTTCCTAGCTCTTTGGCCTCTTTCGTCTCCCTCAACCAAGAGTTTTTCTCCATAGTTGATGTAGGGTTATGCCCTACTCAGGAAATCACTTAAGCTACAATCTCCCTCGAGCCCAAACTTTTCCCAGAACATGTACTATGGTCTCAACCCCTTCTGGAATATCTAGCATTTAAAAATACCATATGTGCGATTCTACTACCACTTTAGTGAAACTTTAAATGTATTCGGGTAAATTTTCTTTCCTCTATTGGGTGACCCCACTAAGTACGACCATTTTCGCAGTTTGGCACTTTCAGGTGGAGAATTGGGTGGTGAAAGCTTCATAGAGGTCTTTCCAATAATATATGCTTTCATCAGGGAGGATCTTGAACCATGTCACTGCAGATCCAATCAAAGTTGGTGCAAAGATCTTGTACTTTATTGCCCCTTGGGCATGATAATAGTCTAGACGGGTGCCTATGTGTTCAACGTATTCATGTAGGTCTTCGGTCTCGTCATACCTCTACAACTTCTAAGAATTTTCCAATGACCTTGGAATCCTTCTATCAAGGATGTAAGCTGACATATGGTTCCTTTTTTTCTTCTCTAGAATCAAAGATTCTTCTTTATACCTCTCATTTCTTCAAGGATGAAGGACCTCTAGGGAGTGTGGATACCGCTCACCCCTTCAGGATCATGGGGGGAGTCTTATGTATTCAGTGACGATTATGAGCAGGAAACCTCAAGGCATCTCCTCATATTGTTGCACCATATTATAAACATTTGTTCTGTAGGTCGCTAGCTCCTTGTATTCCAAGGTTAGCCTGTAATAGTTAAATGCCAATGAGCATTTCTTGTACAAGTACCACAAATAGTAGTAGAGGTCGATGAAATGGTTCACCTTGGTGGAGTCGGATCTTGTTTTGAATGATTGGAAGTAGATGCTACTAGGTTTAGAACTTCCTATGTTTGAGGAAGATAATGCGGAGCTTTAATAGCTTCAAGAGCTGTAACGACTACTTGTCGTTGGACGAGGGATCAAGTAGCTTTGAATGTCATCATTGTTGATGAATCTCAGGATGAATCTATTATTGGTTAAGAAGATCAAGAAACTTCAAGGAAGAAGATTAAGAAACGAAGATCTGGACCTCTTAGGAAAGGAGATCTGGATCTCTTAATTGGAGGAGATTTGAACGTGGAAATACGCGAGAATTAAAAATTTCTTCCCACAGGCGGTGTCACGGTTCCATCATGGAACTAGAGTTGTTCGGTAAATGGTAAAACAATGCTTCTTTACAGTGGTCTTGGACTTCCGGTGCAGTGGAGAATGAGCTGACCCGCAAGGTTAATACTCAAACAACCAAGTGAGAGAATGGAAAGTGACATGAGAGTTGTAATTATTTTGAATACTTGAGAATGTTACGCTTTATGTCTTATATAATGGAACCGGTTTAAATTAGAAGTCAGAAGTATAGTGTAGATGTGGTCAATCATCCGATGATTGATAATTCAAAGGCATAATTATCTATTCTAAACAGAATAGAGGAACATCTATTTACTTTAATTCTATACCTTTCGTCCTATGTCTTGTGAGCTGTCATAACGATTATCATATAGATTAATTATTTACAATGTCATTAAATTGCATCAAGATTAACACTATATGCCAATACAATATTGATGTTTAATTTATTTTAAAATGATGTACAACTTGATCAAAATGATTTAACATTTTTCTTTTTAATTATAGAATTACCATATATATTCATAAATATTGTAGGATAGAATACATGAATTAGTTATTGTAAACTGAAAAAGGCTTGGTCAACCTAAAATCCAAGTGTTGTGTTTGCACGTGGATGAAACGAAAGGAGCAGCGTGAGTTTCTGGTTGACGCCCACTCTAAATAGAACCTTATTTATCAAATCAAACATATTAACTAATTCCTTTGAGTCTCTCTTTGACATCTTCATACCTAACTAACTCTATGTCTTTTTTCTCTATTCCTTAAATTATCTATGGACTCTTCACATTTTTTCACTCTCCAACACAGAAGGATCACACCAACAACTTATCACATTTTGCTCTTCATCAGATAATTCATCTTTTATATCATACCTTCTTTCTTTTTTTTCTTCTTTTTTCTTTTTTCTCAAACCAAAAAAACATAACAAAAAAAAAAACTGGTGTTCCTTCGCGATACTATTATACATCAACCATGTTGCAGGATGTTTTTGATCCGCCACTCCCATCAAATTCAAATCCAGATCCACAACAACATCAACAACAACAGCAACTCTCCGTTGTAATTACCTTACCTTAATAATTTGTCATAAAATTTGTGTTGAATGTTTTTTTTTTGCTTTTTGCTTTTCATGCATGAATGATTGATTTTTGTGTGTGTTTGTGACAACTTGTTAGAAATCTAGAATTCATTCTTGACATTCTTCTGCACGACACATTGTGTCATTTTCTAGCCTATAATGCTTCAATAACGACCGATCAGAGATTCTGCAATAACAGCATTTGCATTTTTTTTATATAATATGTTATCTCTATCCGGTCCATGACAATAACATGCAATAAAAATGTCATTTTCTAAAGGTTGCATCGTTATAAAGTGCAATGTAATCTCAACTTGTGCATTTTATTTCTATCTGGAATAATATTGTTATATGTTTTTGTACTTGTTCAGACTTTTGCTAGTTTAGTTAACAACAACAACACTTCACATGTATACCATTATGGTTCCTTTATGTCTCTTTTAATTCACATTAAATCAACTTCCATAACAACTAGTAGCATGGCATGAGGTTCCTTTTTTGTTTTTTCTCCAAACCTTGCCTCCAACATGTCACATTATAAGGCATAGCATAGATTCACATCTTTTTCTGCAATATCAACATCCTAAAAATGCTATCTCTTTTGTATTTATCTGTTTATAACCAATCAAATTTTTACGTTGAATACTCCATTAACCACTATTAATTGTACCTTAAGTTATTTCTTTTTCTTCCTAGACAAAGAACATGTATATATAGGCATCATCATCATCACTTTTACTTAGCTTTTTTTTCTTCTTTCGGTAATCATGTTATTTACATTTCCTTTATATGCATGGTTACAGGATGAAATTTCAAGCCCTCTTAGCGCGGCGCAAATTTTCGAGCTATGTAACCCTGAGTTATTTCCAGAAACTTTGCAGAATTCTGAGGTTACATCAAGCTCAAATTGTTGCTATGAAGAGAATTCTTCATATGCAACAAATATATTAGATGTAGAAACTAAGTTCAATAATAGCAATAGCAATAACACAGTAGTCGTCACAACTCCAACTAGAACCAACAACATCAACAACAATAATAACAATAACAATAATCTATCTGTTATCTTTGATTCACAAGAAGAAATCGACAATGACATATCTGCCTCCATAGATTTCTCACTATCGCCATCTTTCAATGTTCATTCATTCCTTCCAGTAACATCATCACAGCAAGTAGAACAATTTGATTTCAATTCGCATGTTCAACAGCTAACAGCATGTTCGTCTGTCGAAGGCTTTTCACAGTATCATAATCCAAATGATTCAGTTGCACCTCTTATGGGAGCTCCATTATCATTGCCACCTGTTTTTGAAGAGGATTGCATAACTTCTGTACCTTCTTATGTTCCTTTGAATCCTTCATCTCCTTCTTGCAATTATCTTAGTCCTGCTGGAATGGCCGGGTACATGCCTAATGGCCCTCTTACCACTGCTTTGTCTGCTGATAGTTCTGCTTTGTTTGGTGGAAACATTCTTCTTGGTCCTGAACTTCAGACACAAGAACTTGATTATCAAGGAGACAGTGGTAGAATTTTTTGCGCTGATCCTATTCAGAGGGTGTTTAACCCTCCCGATCTTCAGGTATTGACAAATTCTAAACTAGTCTATTAAGTTCTTTACAATTACTTTTTATCAGGGTCTTTTTTAGGGTGTGCAAGGCACGGCTCAAAATTTATCACAGTTAAACCGTAATTAAATAGGGTCACATGTAATTATTTTGTCACGTTGAACCGTGGCTAACCTATAGAGAATCTCCAAAAACTTAAAACGTCTTTGTTACAATGAAAAATGTTCAATATACTATACTTTCAGGCACTTAATACGGAGAATCAACAACTAGTAGCTGGTTCTGGAAGTTCTGCCAGTTTAACACCAGAAATCTCAAACTTGGAAGACTCTACATTCAAGGTTGGAAAGCTTTCTGTTGAAGAAAGGAAAGAAAAGATTCACAGATACATGAAGAAAAGAAATGAAAGAAACTTCAGCAAGAAGATTAAGGTACTCTCTCAAGCTCTTGACTCTTGAAACAATCAAAGCATAATTGAAAACCTTATCATGTTACATATGAATTTGCAAGGTATAATTACTTGATCATGAAACCACTTCTTCTTACTGCATATTTTGAAGTTCATCTAATGATGATGATGCAAACCAAATATGCAGTATGCATGTCGCAAAACACTGGCTGATAGCAGGCCTCGAGTTCGAGGAAGATTCGCAAAGAATGATGATTTTGGAGAGGCACAAAGAACTGCTAGTGGAAATCATGAAGAAGAAGATGAAGAAGAGGTATAAGATTCATTCATCTCAAATAACATTGAATTATTATTTTTTGGAATGAATATTTAATCATGATTCCTTTGATTATTGTAACTATACTACAGGTAGTTGTGAAAGAGGAAGATGATATGGTTGATTCTTCAGATATATTTGCTCATATCAGTGGAGTGAACTCATTCAAATGCAACTATTCTATTCAATCATGGATTTAACTCAATAGTTTATTAATTAGTTTATGTAGATTTTTTGCATGCCCTTGTTCCAATCCAGATTTCTCCTATATGATTGGGTTTGATGGATGAGGAAGTTGAATAATTGGGGTCCTAATACTAATACAAATAAAGTGAATGAAGAATATAAATATATATAGAATGTATTCTCATTACTTGTATCAACCTATAAAAAGGTTGAGTTGCTTCCACCTACTAGTGGAGTTCATTTGTGTAGTTTCTTTTATATTAGTTGGAAACTACATTTTTCTTTTATCCTACCTAAGCACATGTTTTTGAATGTAGGTGTAAAGCTTTTAAATATATTTATTATTATTTTCTGACAGAAGCTTTTCAATATTTTTATTGACTTCAAAATGTCAAAACAAATTCGGTCTTGATGATTTTCTCATTATCTATTCCTCCATATTTAATAATTACAAATAATTTTATAGTTATTACTACTAATTACAAATATATTTTGATTTGAATTCTAATTATATATAATTAATAACTTTCTAAATTATACAAAATATAACAGAAATAATATCAGAGTTTCTTATTGATATCCTCCTCAAGTTAATGCGGTTGATCAAGCAATATCAATTTGCTTATGAGAAATTAATGTCGAGGGTGAGGAAATGTTTTGGTGAATATATTGTTATAAATAATCAGACTTAGTTATGTGATTACTTTTTCTAAAAAATGAGAGAAACCTTTTTGGTATTGAATACACTCTTGCTCCTTATATAGACCTAATGACTTTTACAATTCTCAAAAGATAACTGCTACTAATAAAACTATCATAACTTACCAACTTTTGTCCTTCCAAATTACATTGCTTCTTAATCTTCCTACTACCATATTTAATATGACTTATTACTAATGACATTTAAAGTTTACTCAACAAAACTCCTCTGTAAACTTAAATGTTTCTTCCATCCAGCATTCCTATCATCTTCTTGCCTCTGTCGAAGATCTCTTTTGATAGTGGTTTTGTGAAAATATCCGTTGCTTGGTTTTTGCTTGCTACATGCCTTAATTCGACACTTCCCTCCTTCACATGTTCACGAATGAAGTGAAATCGAACATCAATGTGTTTGCTTCGTTCATGATTCACTGGATTCTTTGCCAATTCGATAGCTGATTTATTGTCCACTTGTATTATTGTTGGACCTTCCTGTTTTAGCTCCATCTTGCTTATCAACCTTCTGAGCCATACTGCATGACAGACGCACCAAGATGTTGTCACATATTCAGCTTCACACGTCGAAAGTGTTACTATAGGTTGCTTCTTCGATAGCCAAGTAAATGATGTGTTTCCCATGAAAAACACATATCCAGAGGTGCTCTTTCGATCGTCTATGTCTCCGCACCAGTCACTGTCAGAATAACCAACTAACTTGTAGTCTTCTGTTTTTGAATAAAGCATTCCTAGTGATACTGTTCCTTGGATGTATCTTAGAATTCGTTTCAGCGCTTTCCAATGTGTGTGTATTGGCTCCTCCATGAATCGACTTAGCACGCCAACACTTAGTGAAATGTCTGGCCTTGTGCATGTGAGATATCGAAGGCTACCTACCAAGCTTCGATATTTGCTTCCTTCAACCCGTTCTCCTCCATCAAACTTTGACAGTTTTGTACCTGGTTCCATTGGAGTCGAAGTTGGATTGCAATTCTTCATTTTATATTTTTCTAGGATTTCTTTTGCATATTTTTCTTGTGAGATAAAGATTCCAGCTTCTTCTTGTCGAACCTCCAGACCAAGAAAGAGTCTCATCAGACCTAAGTCTGTCATTTCGAATTCGCTTGTCATGGTGCTCTTGAAATCTTCGATCATCTGAACATCACTGCCTAGAAAGATAAGGTCATCAACATAGAGAGAAACAAGTAATAAATTACTTCCATTTTTCTTCACATAGAGGGCGGGTTCATAAGGACATTTCTCGAACCCATTCTCTTTGAAATATGTGTCAATACGTGTGTTCCATGCCCTAGGTGCTTGCTTCAGCCCATACAACGATTTCTTCAATTTCAACACCTTCTTCACTTCTACAATTCTCATATATCCAAGTGGTTGTTCGACATAGATTTCTTCTTCGATCACACCATTCAAAAATGTTGTCTTGACATCCATTTGAAATATTGGCCATTTGAATTGAGCAGCTTGAGAAATGAGTAATCAAATTGTCTCCATTCTTGCAACAGGCGCAAACACTTCGTCATAGTCAATTCCTGCTTTCTGTTGTATCCCTTCGCAACCAGTCGTGCTTTGAATCTTTTGATTTCTCCTTGAGCATTCATCTTTTTCTTGAATACCCACTTTACACCAATGGGTTGACTATCTTTTGGCAATTCGACTAGCTCCCAAGTATTGTTGCGTTCGATTACTCTAATCTCTTCGTCTATGGCACTTTTCCACTTCTTGTCTTGTAACGCTTCTTCGACACTGATGTTTTCAGCATCTTCCAGAAGACACACAAGATGCACCTCACTTGTTGAATCATACAAATTTTGCAAACTTCTCATTTTGGGTTGTAGAGGTTCATCTTCATCTCCAGTTTCTTCATGTTCTGTTGGAATACCTGTTGGTACATCTACAGTTGTTTCTTCGAGTGCGTCAATAACCTCTGTCGAATTGTTCCAGTCCGACTTGCTTGCTTTGTTCATTTGAACGTCTCTACTCACGATCACTTTCTTACTTATGGGATCGAAGAGCTTGTACCCTTTCGTCTTCTCATCATATCCAATGAATATGTACTTCTGACTTTTGTCTTCAAGCTTTGTTCTTTGTTGATCTGGTAACTGTGCATAAGCTATACTACATAATACCTTGAGATGAGAAATTGTTGGCTTCTGTCCACTCCATTCTTCTTGTGGTGTTTTCTCTTCTAACTTCGAATGTGGACATCTATTCTGAATATAAACAGCACATTGTACTGCTTCTGCCCAGAATTCTTTCAACATGTTCTTGCTTTTGAGCATTGATCGAATCATGTCAAGAATAGTTCAATTCTTTCTTTCAGCCACACCATTTTGTTGAGGTGAATATGGTGCAGTTAGGAATCTCCTTATGCCCTGTTCTTCACAATACTTCACAAAGGCCATTGAAGTATACTCACCTCCTCTGTCAGATCGAATTGCTTTGATATGTCTGTCTGTTGCCTTCTCCACCATTACTTTGAACTTTTTGAACACTTCTAATGCTTCAGATTTTTCTTTCAGGAAGTAAACCCAGATTTTTCTTTCAGGAAGTAAACCCAGATTTTTCTTGAGAAGTCATTAATAAAAGAAATGAAGTACCTTTTTCCACTGAAAGATTCTGGAGTGATTGACCCACATATGTCAGTATGTATCAATTTGAGAATATGTTTAGCTTGATACTCTGCCTTCCTTTGAAATGAGGTTCTTGTTTGTTTGCTGAGCACACATTCTTCACAGAATTTTTCTTCGAAATCCATGTCTGGTAGTCAATGCACCATGTTCCTTTTTGCCAACCTTCTCAAACCAGCATGATGTAGATGACCAAAGCGCATATGTCATAGTGACGCTTTGTCTTACACTTCGATTTGTAGACATTTCTCTCGAATGTTCCTCAGGTTCAGTTTGTACATTCGATTTCTTTCCATTTCGACACTGGCAATCAAATGTCCTACTTTGTCCTTCAAATGCAGTGTTCGATCTTTCATAAGTATCGAAGCACCTTTTTCTATAAGTTGTCCCAGACTTAATATGTTGGTCTTGAGATCTGGTACATAGTAAACGTCTTCGATTGATCCAATCAAGCCATCCTTCTGCAAGTAACCGATTGTGCCCTTTCCTTCGACCTTCACTTTCGATGCATCTCCAAAAGACACATTACCATCTTCAGTTCTCTTCATATCTTTAAACAGGTGTTTGTAACCACATATGTGATTACTTGCTCCTGAGTCAAGATACCAAACATTGTCATTATTGGTGTTGATTTCGTTTTGAGCCATCAGGAGAAAGCCTTCATTCGATTCAGCTTCCAAGGCTAGGTTGGTTGTTTCTTCAATCTTATTTTCGATTCGACAGTTCTTTGCAAGATGTCCCACTTTGTCACAGTTGTAACATTTGTAGGAGTTGCAATCCTTCGCGTAATGACCATACTTCCCACACTTGTAGCATTCGAAGTTGGAATGATTCGAACGACCACCTCTTTGACCATGTCCTCTGCCACGCCAATTTTGTTGGCTCGATTGTCCTCTTTCGAAGTTGCTACCTCTACCACTTCAACCACTGTCACGACCTCCACGTCCACGTCCTCTTCCTCAAAAGTTGTGAGAAAAGAGTACCTTTTCGTCTTTGTTCAATTCCTTGGTTTGGTTTTCTTCTTCGATTGCTTCTTCTTTCTTTTTCATCTTTCGTTGTTCATGTGCTTCGAGAGAACCAGCGAGCTCTTCAACTGAGAGCGTCGAAATGTCCTTCGACTCTTCTATTGCACACACAATATTCTCAAACTTGTCTGTTAAAGATCTCAAGATCTTTTCAACAACTCGTGCATCAGTTACTGTCTCTCCATTTCTGGTGAGTTGATTCACCACCTTTTGCACACGTGTGATGTAGTCAGATACAATTTTTGTATCCTTCATCTATATCCTCTCCAATTCGCCACCAAGAGTTTGGAGTCGAACTTGCTTCACTCGATCTGCTCCTTTGAACACTTTTTCTAACGTGTCCCACGCTTGTTTCGACGTAGTGGAACCAGCAATTTTTTCGAAGCCTGATTCATCTACAACCCTGAACAACATGTATAATGTCGTTTTATCCTTCGATCACGTCTCTTTTAACGCCTTCATTTGAGCTGCCGTATATCCCCCAACTTTTGTTGGTTCTTCAAAACCTTCATGGGTCACATCCCACGCGTCTAGAGATCCAAGAAGAGCTTTCATTTAGATACTCCAGTTTTCATAATTTGACTTTGTTAGCTGTGGCAACGACATTTGATTCATCATATTTTCCATGAGCTCGGATGCCAAATT